AAGCGCTTCGAGAAGAACGAGGAGGGAGATCTGAGACCATGGTGCCCGAGTCGTTGCCCTCTTTGATTCTCTGAGATCTCAGACATGTGTTCTTTCCTAATTTAAGGATTTCCATCCAGAAAAGCTTCTTCACAGGAGACTGAGCAGCAACTGTTTCCACTACGCCTGGGACCACGCAGCTTAGCTTTGGAAGAGAACTCCCGAAAAACAGCTCTGCTGACTTCGTCCAAAGATTTTAGCGTTCATCTAGAACCCCATTAAAAGCTAATCAATGTGCAGATTAAATCTTGTTTGTGTAATTTGTATCAAAAACTTCACCGTTGTTGTTTACGGAGCTACACTGTGGGTGGTGCTGTTTCATATCCAGGACCAGTTATTCCCTGGAATCCAGGCGTGTAGCTGGGAAACTTCTGTCCCGGCCAAATTCATACCAGGAATTAGCATATTACCTGCAATAAACTGCCAGCGTTCATACTGATTAAACAAACAAGATTTAACTTGCACGGTAATGAGAATTCAAATACCGATAAGGCATTTTTTTCCATTCACTTTCAGACGCAATGTACTGTACAAATGAAAAAACAATCTATAAATCAACTTTATGCCTTTTAGTAGTAAGGCTTCTGGTACTTTTCCTTTCTAAAAAATACATAGTACCTAGTACTATTCCTTATTCCAAGTAGTAGTTGGCACTACTGTGCTTTGATCTTGGTACACTCTAATACTTTTGTGGTCAATAGATAAAGTTAATTTCTAGTACTAGTACCTGTGGTGAAAACAGGTACTACATGTCTCAGTTCCCTACTCTTATTCCTGCCTTGGAAACCTACTTTAATCCTGGTCCATAGTACCAAGTACCATAAACAAATGTTTAGAGGCTCCATACAGAAAGAGCAGCATCAATATTTGTATTTAAGTGAATTGATGGGGATAAGAACATTTTCTTTATTAGTTTGTAAAGTGATTACTGTGGTACTTTTAGTGTGGTACTAAAATTTGAAAATAAGGAATTTCATTAGGTGTTTTATTGTGTATAATCTTTCCTCAACAGTGATAAATACATTCAGTTGTTTGCAAACAGTACAGATGAGCTGTCAGCCTCAGGATAATCTGGCACCTCTTCACAGGAGACCATCTGTCAGCACATCTGAGCAGTTCTAGGCTGCCTTCGCCACTGTTTGTCTGCCTGTCAGGAAACGTAAAAGTCCTCTGGAGGGTAAAACAGTGACGGGTATCAGACATCGGACTTAGATTTGTTGTGCTTGAGTAGACTTTTACAGATCGTCTCTCTGTTGTTCACTGTGTCCCACTGACCTACATGCCTCAGTGCAGACCATTTGGGTGAAAACCCTAGTTTCTAGAGCACAGCCAGACAAAAACGGTCGCTCTTCATACACACTGCATCCAAAGGGGGATTTTCAGTGGGTTGCACAACTCTGCCAAAATAACAGTATAATTTATTTGTATATATTTGCAATAAATCCCTGGTTTGCTCGAGTTCCTCTGTGTTGCCACATATCTGAAAAACAACACAAATCATTGACGCGACTCTGCTAATTGAGGAGTTGAGCAACGCCGAGTTGGGTTTATTTGCCATCACAGACCGCATATTTGACGCAAATCCTAAATTGCTTTACCGACATTATCATCCGTCTGTGTCTGATCTAAGTCTGGATAATTCCTTGTACCAGGAAGGCTATGAACATAAAATCTAACCACTGTGACTCCAGCATTTATTTTCTTGGCTGTGTGTTATTGTTCAAACTCTTGTTGATCCCCACAGATGGTTTTATCTAAAAGGAGAAGTTCCATTCACAACAGGGCAGCTCAGATCGAGCACATATAGTTTTACAAAAGGTATATCTAAATTACAAGAAACACAAAGATAGTGAAAGTAAATACTAGCCTACAGTTCAACAAAAACATTTATAACCAGCCAACGACAACTAAAAATAACCCAAAAAAAACATCACATAAGCACAAAAAAAAAACTGAGAATCCAAAAAATGTGGAAATTGGCTAAAAGATTGGCCCAACTCATAGTAGAACCAGATGCAACTAAAAGTTAGCCAAATCAGGATAATTTGTGAAAGAGCTTGTAATTTATTGAGAAACAGCTAAAAGTATACAAATGTTGAAAAATAGAGACAGACGTTACAACATAAATCACATAAAAAGCTACAAAAGGTTTCCATGAAATAAGTAGCACCACAAGAAAAATGAAGCAATCACCAATTAAATTAATCAAAAATACAGCAACAGTTACTAAGTAAAGACGAAATGTCAACATTTAGGAAGAATGCCAGGATATATCTTAGTACTACTGATATGGCAAACAATAAAAAGCATAAATTTTGAACAAAAGTTTGCCAAGAAAAAACCAAATGATGACGTAAAGACAAAAAAAGTACATCAAGATAGCAGGGTGTTTTTTTAAATAATTGGCAAAAAAAAAAAAAAAAAAAATGAGCCAAAATAACTACAGCTGCTAAAATGTTGCAGATGAGGTTTGGAATGATATTTGGTTTCTGACTTACATTTTCTCCATATCTTTTTTCATTTCTTTATGTCATACTTTACCCCAGGAAATGACACAAATTGCTCTTTGAAATGTGTGTCTGTCTGGGTGTGTTTTGGCAACCACTGTAAATACATTAGCTAGCACAATGCAGTCATAGCTATGAAATCAGCTACATGATATTTGATATGTTTACAGCTCTCCGCCCTCTTAAATCTAATTAGAGCCTCCGTGTTAATGTGCTGTACGTCTAATTTTGTCTTCTGTGCATCTGTGCTGAAATAAACACTTAAATCCACGCCCGTGTTGAACAGTAGTTAAGGCACATGTTTTAAGGTCCCATACAGTTGAATTCTTCTCTTGTAATCACTCCAAACAAACCTGATGAAATACCTACCACAGTAGAAAGTGAACCCCACCTCTCGTTAAGTCGACTCATCACTGCCACCTAGTGTGCTACACGTGCTTAGCATTTTACAAATATAACCGCAGTTTAAAACAAAAACACACGATTCAATTGGCAGTCAACAATAGTTTCACCAAAAGTACTAATTATATTTATCCACATATGCCACATCAGCACAAAACTACCATTCCCCGGTTCAAATAACCCAGCAATTTAAAGTCTACTCGTCAACCTGCAACAGCTTATTTACACCACGGGGAGGCGCAGCTCCATCAGTTATCACATTTCTGTGAGGTCTGGCGTTGGTCTGAGAACGTTTTTTAAAAAATAATTACGTTATGTAATTGTACCTTACAATAATAAGACAAAACGTCACTATAAATTAATAGTATATTTAAACCTTTACTGCTGAATTCTGTTTCTTATCTTTTTCAATTTTGTGGGGGATATTTTGGCAACTGTCATTGTTGCAGTTTTACAAGTCTATTTTTGTATGTTTCTTTTTAATTATAAAAATAATCATTTTAAGTCAACAGTTACCATTCTTTAATGTGTGCTTCATTCTGCTCTTCATCATGAGGCAGACATTTTTAAAGGCAGACATTATTGTCTGTTAATCCACTATAAACTCCTGGTGCTTTGGAAAACTTGACTGTGTTTGTTAAATAGTGCTTGGCTTTTACTTGACACAATACAGTCTCGAGTAGCATTGTTGCTGCAGTGGGGAAAGACCAGTCCTATAATCAATACAACCAATCCAAGATAGAGGTTTGGTTAAAGTCTCTGATCACGTCTCACAATGGTGTCATATCACAGACAGTGACTGGTTGCGTAGGCTCTGTTCAGAGGGATCAAAACAGACCTTAAAAATAAAACAAATGATGTTGTCTGTACTTAAATGGCCTGCAAGGAGTCTGGATCTGACGAACATCAAATATGTTTGGAATTACTTGGACTGGAAGTGCGTCAAGACGAAAACCATAACAATTTTTAAAAGAGCCTTGGTCATTTTATTTAAGATTATACATATTATTAAGTACACTAAGAACTCTTCAGATCCATTACCATTTCAACCTTAAACTGTGAAAACATCCTTATGATGTGTTTATCTGCAGAAAATCCCATGTCCCCATCAGGGCCATTAGAATTATCATTGGTTGTTGTTTCTAAGATGGAACAAAAGACACATCTCATATGATGTTTGAGCAAGTGACAATACACACACACACACATATATATAGAAAAATATTTTAAAGTGTTTTAGTTATTTTTATTGGATATTATTTGAAATGAACTGACATCTCTTCATCTCACGCTTTCAAGTTTATATCCATTACCATATTTGACCTAATTTTTAGAAATATATCTTTGAGCGTAATTTTCTTCCTTTCCTTCACCTATTATATATAGTTGTTTTTTGGTTTTGGCTACCTTCCTGCTACTGTTTGGTCAACTGTATTTCTCTCACAGTAATAATGAAGCACTTACTGTATCTTCTCTATCTCAAATAAGTTTAGTAGTAAGTAAGTTACAAACAGAATTAGATTTTCTTTTTAAAGAAAGGTTCAAGTACAGTACCAAGTTGCTGTCCTGCTTTCAGAGGCTGCACTGACATTTTTAAAGCTCATCTTTGTACGATGGCATCACTTTTATCAACTGCTACAAACTCATCTGGGCATTTTCCTATGTTTACTTCGCAGCAGAGGTTGTGAAGGTGGGAAATACGACATGATCATAAGCGATCAATAAATATAGGAAACCATTTCGCAGGTGAAGTTGAAGATAAATGCTCTGTCACGTGATCCCTCGGTTATAAACAAAGGTGAAATTCAAAACCGGGGCCTTATATCTGATCGACTGTGACCTGTTTCTCACAGGCTGTAACAGTACAGTTTAATTTTAATTCAGCTCACCTAGTTGTGTAGATAAGAAAAGAGGTGGTGACTAAAAAAAAAACTATTCAAATGAAGCCTAGGCTGAGGAAGCTAGCGTGAACAACGTGACCTAAAACCAGTCCCTCAGTCGCTGCAGACGATCTAAAAAGGGACGGTACGTTTTTAGGCAAATTTGGGCTACCTGATAATAATCCTGTTGGTACTGGCAGTTCCTGACCTACATTCACGGCGTCCCAGCCAATCTCCGACGACATTTCAGCTTCGCGCAAACACACACTCCGTAGACAGGAGGGAAACGTGACGCAGAGGGGGAAGCGAGGGGGGAGGGGCGGAGAAGTCACGGTGAGCTCCGCCCTTTTCGCACGTGCCGGGGCTGACAGGACAAGATCGTCTATATGTGAACAGATGACCGCACAGTAAAAAAAACACTGCACTGCTTCCTGCCGCACGACAGCGAGCACGAGTAGGCTGAGAGAGAGACAGGTAGAAGTAAATAGACAGAGAGAGAGGTAGACGGAATGCTACAGGTATCGTTTTGAGTTGGTAGAAATACATATAATCTATAATACAATCAACAAAATAGATGTGTGTAGTGTATGTAACTGGCATAAATTAAAAATGTAATATGGCAGAGAACACATGTATCAGACAGAAAATCCTAGTAAATGGATTTTTGACAGTTTATTATGTAATTGTAAATTATTTTCTTTCCCCACTAAGAGTGACTTTTTGTTGTTGTTGTATTTGATGATACTAATGACACTTTAAGAAACATTGGCATGTGACCCACTTCTGATCTGGTTTCACATCCAGTTTGACAGCCCAGTTGGTTAACTAACATCTCTGAATCACACATACAATTAATAACTTGACCTGAATCTGTTGCCAATGACTGAACTGCCCTAACCTCAAATTACATTATTTACTGCATGTGTGTCAGTGTGTTTATATGTCTGTGTGTCAGAGGAAAAAACTTCCTGCAGCAGTTTAGACTATTATTACAATTACCGACAAAGACTCCTATTAGTGTTACTAACCTAGTGATAAAGTAAGTTATGTAATTCATTTGGTGACTCGTTTCACACAGTCAGAAGTTGTTCCAGACTA